GTAATTCTGAGCGACTGGGAACCAAAAATGGACAGAGACGCAGAGATCTCTGACGGCTATCATCTCAATCTTCTGGAACAAAGGCCCTTAAAGCCCACCCCGTTGCAACTTGCTGATGAACGTCAACAGCGGACGATAGTGGATACGCAAACGATGAGAAGTTGAGATGTCTTGTTGGCTTAGCCATGCCCGTAGTGTCGTCCCTGACACTGGTGCTCAATGTCCACTCTGCATGCTGGTGTTTTACGGATGGAATACTGAAATGGGACAAGGCGGATAGAAAATCACCAACGGGCAGAAAGAGAGAGGCGAAGTCCCTGCAGGACGCAGCGATGCTATGCATCATTCTCAGCTGGGCACGCGGGAGCTAGCGCTTAGTGCCAGGTACGCCAGCGCAAGCTTCACCCCGTTTGCTTGTCTATGCCCTTTGGCGCGCTGCCCAGTCCCATTGGGTCTTTTGGATTTAGACTTGACTCGGCTGCCCAAAGTATCCACGCAAAAGTAGCATTCGCACCACTCCGAATAAGGTCGAAGTGGTGGGAAGGGGAAACAAGGAGGTGGCCCGCCAGGACCACGGAGGTACGGAGGCATGAAGGCCTCCAGCCCGGGAGGAGGCTGGGGGATTTGATCGCCGTTGACATAGCAAAGGAGGCAGGCGGGGCGCATTGTTTCGCTGATCATTGTGAATCATTGCTGCCAGCCGGGCACGATCCCTAGGAGACAATCGCATGAGCCGCCGGTGCTTTCCAGGACTGTCGTTGCACCGCCAGGCGTTTCTCGTTTCTGTGGATCATCCATCAACCCCGGGGGAAATCAGTCCCAGGGGCCAGGCGAGAATGTGGTCCTGTCCACATGAACAGTTCAACAAAGATCTGGGGGTGGCCAGGGGCAATACGGGCGCTTCATTATGGGGAGACCTGGGCAGGGGTTGTCGGTTGTCTTTTGCTCCGATGCAAGCATGGCAGTTCTAGACGTCCTGACAGGGAACTGAGGGGCAAGTTGATACAGGGGGCCGTTGCGCTTGGATCTGGTAGACACGACCATCGCCAGTACTACACACACACGCAGCTGTGAGCCTCAGCCAATCCATGGAGATCCATGGAGAGGGGGGCGCGGCTGGCTGAGTCGCCTGCTGTGATTCGTGTTGTCCGTGCTTCACCGCAGCATACCTGGAACAGGAACAGGTCGCCCCCGCTCGAATAGAAGCGCGGAGAAAAATTAAGCTTGGCAAAAAGAGTTGTGTCAGAAACACGATGGCGAAATCGGCTCTCTACTGAGGGCTTGCCTCCCAGGATCGCATTGGAAGCATGGGACACACAGAAGACGCCCGTTTGCTATTCTGGTTTGTGGGCAAAAGTTGCCTCCATGCCATAAGGCGCACATTCTAGGTCCCACCGTCCCAGTCGTCGGGAGGTCCGGCTGATCCAGAAACCGAGAAAGTCATGTCAAGATCTGATAGGTAGAACATCGACACACTTTAAGGCAGACTCACAGGTAATCAGGCCTTCCAAGACTTTTGTTTAGTCGTGTACCTACTGTAATAAGCTTGTAAAGACGGAGCTTTTTTTGCCGCCTTGCGTCGCATTGGCATTGCTCAGGCCTCTTCTTGACTTTTCTTCGCCTCTCCCGGCTCGGAGCCGAGAACCGGCTGGGCGGATCCACCCTCTCGGCCGATTCCGCCTTCCGGAGTGGATCTCCGTAAGGGCCCCGCTAGCTAAGCCTTCGCCGCAATGATTTCCCTCTTTCATACGTAGTAGAACCACAATGGTTTGCATTCCCGCGCCCGCGATGCTTGCGTAGATCAATCATCCTCTGGCAAACCAATCGCAATACAGTGGGTGATATAAAAGGGGGGATTCTTCAGCCACAGTAAGGCCTGGTGCGAGTCGCCAGGCCCGCTGTGCCGCTGTGCCGCTGTGCCGCTGTGCGCACGAGACCTGACGCGCCCCTGACGCCGCACGCGAGTTTGATCTTCGCTGCCAAGCTGCCAAGACACCTCAAGACCCGCCCTATCCCGAGCCTTGACTACTCAGGTGCGTAGTGCGGTATGGGAAACTCGAGGGAGGGCAAGAAGATGCGTAAAGATGCAAGGCTACGGCCAGGACTACGCGAGGTTGCATTACGTGCCAAGAACGTAGGGCAGAGAGCATAGCAGGGGCTAGTCATGACCACAGCACGGCAGGAAAACCGGTGAAGGCAACTCTCTCCGATCCCCTCGGATGGCTCCAGCTGCGAAAGCTTGTGTTTGGCGAAGTCTTCACCCAAAGTCGTGAGTAGAGAGTTCATGCATCGTGCAAGGGACGAATCGTATTGATCGTATAACCCTCGTCATGAGTGGTTTACCATTCTCTACAAGTGGCGGAAATGCAGGTCCCACGGTTTCTCTTTTGTAAGGCACGTTTCTGACATTTGGGAAATTGAGATTCTTCGGCCTGTAGTCGTCGAGGTGCTCCTGAGTCGAACCCTTTTCGGGAATAGACTCTCATCGATTACCTTCATCTCAATATCTGATGCTCGGCATGAGCTCGGCATGAGACGCCCTACTCCATCGACCGAAGTTTTTCATAATTACGCACCAATCCTTGGGCTGAACCCATCTCAACTATGCTCGTGCCCTTGCCCTGAGCAGTTCGCTCACCACCGCTGAGATCTCGCCGTCTATACTTGTCGCCAGCCCATCTGCCTCCAAACCACATGGGACGGCTGTCTCAGGTCCCTTACCCACCCTCACAAGCTTCACTCGTCCCCCGCCTCTCATGACGAGATCCTCGTTGGGCCATCTCAAGACCCCCGGCGTAGACATCCCTACGCCAAGCTCTAGGATCACTGTCGTCCTTTCCTCACGATGCACCACATCCCGGCGGAACTGCTTCCATCTCTTCTCTCCATCTTCAAAGGGCTTCTCGTTGAACCAGTGCCCTGCCCTCACGCAGATGTTCATTTTGCCGCCGCAAAACTTGCAAAGGGGCACCTTGCTCGGTTCTGTCAATATTTGAGATACTGGGTCTAAGAACGCCTGCGCATCTGCAACTAAAGGTGCCGATGGCATTGTCGCCTCCGGTCGGCAATTTGCCAAACACTGGAAGACAGAGTACGAGCCTTGAGGGGTTGAGAGTCTCTCCGGCGATATCCCATTGGCAACAAAGAGGCCATCGGCGTTAGATGTTCTCACATGGGCGTTTCCACCAAACCTCTCGAGCCATGAAATGAGCATTCGGTACATTCCGGATTCTGGCCAAGACTTGATCATCGCCAAGTGGGTAAAGTAGTAGCCCCAGCGGACTTGTTCCGTTGGCCAAGAGGTGAAGCCAAAGACGCTGTACAGAGTTCGCAGCCCATACTTCAAGAAACCGGGATAGTTCTTGGCAAACAGGGCCGACGAAGTGTAATCCAGCCCGTCGGAAGCAGACAGACCGGCACCGGCGCTCACAATGACTGCGTCAGCCGCGTCCAGCCACTGCCTGGCCCGGTCCAGCGAGTCACACTGGATCAGCGGCGGATGATTCGCACTTGCCGGCGGAGTTGGTGACCGGCCCATCCATGTAACATGCGGGGGAGAGGCCAGGATCTCCTGGTAGATGGCATGATCTGCGTCCGTGAAGGTGTTGAAGATGATATCGGTGATGGACGTATCCTCGTGGTGCTCGAGCCAATCTGTGACTGCGCTGACCGCGACAGCTGCTGCATCTCGCGCCGGATAGGCGAACAAGCCGGTCGAGATGCCGCATAACGCGACAATCTTCCTGCCATCCGGCGCCGAGGGCAGCGGTTCGACTGCGTCAAGAACGCTGCGATAGCATTGGGCGAGCTGTTGCGTCTCGTTTGTCGTTGGTTTTGAGCCGCGTTGCAGTTGCGGCCCGACTGTATGCACCACATGCATCGCTGGTAGGCAATACGCGTCTGTGACTATCGCCTCGCCCGGTCCGAGTTCACGGCCTCTTTGGTTCATGACCCGGTAGCACTCGTCCCGCAGCCGGGGCCCAGCGCAAGAGTGAATCGCATTGTCTATGCAGCGGTGCGCCGGCTGGAAGCATCCGAGTCCCTGGCTGTTCGCGGCATTGGTGATTGCAGTGATGCCGGTGAGAGTCGTGATGTCACCTTTCCAGAGCGTAACTCTAACGCGGTTATGGTTCGTTCGTTTGAGTGCGATTGTCGGTTGGATAGAACCCGCCAATGTCAGTACACGATGTGATGCCTGTTGCTGTAAGACTGAGTCTATCCCGACAAGAATGTCTTCCGGGAGCGGTGGCTCCGGTATGCGAACACAGAGAAGCTGGTGCAGAAGCTGTAGATGTGTAGAGGGCTCCAGATCGTCTAACTGGTCCTTGATATGACGAAGGTGGTGGTGGTGATGGTCGTGGTGGCAGTCGTCATGATCCGAGTCAGCGCTTGAATCCGTTTCATCCAGTAGATGGACGAGAATTTGCTGTAGACTGTCCATGCTTTGCCGTGTTGCATGGATATCTTCTTTTGCCTATTGATGCAGTTCCAATCTCATCCACATAGGCAGGGAACCACCACTCTCTTCAATAATTTATCTGAGTTTGAGTATGAATGGTAATTTTTGATTTCAAGCATGGCAAAAAGCGAATTTGAGAATATGCATTTTGGTTCCGATTTTAACTTGCTTTGGTGAGCTGACGGAAGTAATTTGCATCCGACCCTAAGATTGATAGAACCTCTTCCGCCTCCAGGATCAAAGTCATAACAGATCCTACTGGCAACAATCACTCGAAAAAAAAAACCCCCCCGAGAGATGCAGGTTGGAGGGAAGGCTTCATCAACATTCTTAGTCTCTGTAAACTCTATCTAATACCTTGATTACTGGCGATTTCAATCGCGAACTTGAAGTTGTCTTTTTTCATCATCAGCACTTTTCACCGCGAACAATAACGTTCCACTTCGTCTTATGGAATGCCTGCCCTGAGGACCTCATCGCGGTGGGCCAACCTTCCCTTCCACACGTTTTTAAGACCTTATCGGCGCCATCGGCAATGATTCTAAAGGATTCCGGAGTCTTTGGCTTGTCGTCCTACAAAGAGGTCACTCAGCTTCGTACGTAAGATGTCACGTTAGGTATTAAACTCACCTCATTGCACCACCAGATTGCCGTATTCTCGGAGCAACTCATACGACCGCATTCTCCCGGGCCGGCTTGGTTTGTAGGTCTTCTGTGTCGGATCTGCTTTAGGAGGTTGATACCGTCTCTTGCAGCGGCGTTCAAGCCTTTTGGGAAGTTGTAGCAGAGGACACGACCATCGCCGAAGTCGTCCCGCTTCTGTAAGACAGGAGAAGAGGTACCCGAAGCCATATCTGGGCCCAAAACCTGCGCGTCCAGAGATTCATAGGGGCGGAGCCCTTCCAAGAGATCCTCGACCGTACCATTCACGGCCACCTTCTCAGCCCCGAGGCCGGTATCGAACTCCCACTGTGGGATGAAAACCCCATATCCTTCAATGGGAGTCTTATCAGGAATCACTAATCCGTGGGCCTAGCGTTAGATTAGCATCGAATAGTAGACTCGTTGTACTGGTATGGAATCTTGGCCTTACCGAAGCGGCCAAGGCAGCAATGATGAAAGCTTGGACTTGATAGAAGCGCATTATGATGGTATCAAGAGGGTCAAGGGGATCAAGGCAGATGTCTGAAGTCGAGTTCGAAAGCTGCCAGTACATCAATCATTTTAAATGGAGCGCTTTAAGTAAGTGGGATCCGGACAAAGTGATCTCTTAGGGAACCTTGAAGTCTCGATAGCCATAGGAGACAACCTTTCTCCGTCGAGCTCAACTCTGACATCATTTTGTGACCGAAAACCTTGAACATACATTTCCACTCTTTTCTACACCTTTATTTGACGCTACCTCGGTGGCTACTTGGAGCCTCAGAGGTACATGTACCATCTTCTCGACTTTCGGTAACGCATATGCAATTATCTAAAGCTGCAATGCATGCGGTAAGTACATGTAACCAATACTTGTACAAACATGGCTTAATGATCCTCGCCCTCATATTACTGAGTCCATCCACTCATCGGCGTGATATAAACCGAGAGGTATCAAATCATCAAGTAAGGTATGACAGCACCATTGCAAGCGCCACCCATCCAGGATATCCGTGTCATTATACATATTAGTCAAGTCGAAGTAGTGCACCTGTCTCTGCCCACCCCGTCCAAAGTTCTCCGATGTAATATTGAGCAAGGTAGCCGAAGTAGTTGAAGAGGTCAAATTCGTCAAACCAGGGAAAGCATCCTCAATCGTGTTCGAAATCTCCTGCGGGGTGTAAAAGTCGGTGCCCTTGGCTTCAACGTTCTTCTGGAAGAAAGAAACATAGTCTCTCGTATGGTCGACATCGGTGACTGCACTGAAGGTGTCGGCTGATAGCGCGTGTCCGGGTATAACGAGATTAGGTTTGAGGCCCCCGATGAAGTCGAGAGTCGTGAGCCAAGATTCTGTGAGGGCCGGAGTGAGAAGGTCGGCAAGCCAGGCATGCATCTGGTGGCCGTAGACGACGTCACCAGCGATCCGTGTCTTGGTGGACGGGATCCAGAAAGTCGATAGATCAATCGTATCGCCGCCGACGTTCTCGAGGATTTCAATCGGGCACTTTTCGTCGCCTGGGAGGGTGAAGAAGGAGAAGTTGTATGCAGTCGGAATCGCGGGGACGGGAGCGATGATGTCGGGCCCATAGGCCGCAGACCAAAATTCTGTCTATAACCAAACTGTTAGCTGCAGAATTTCAAGAATTCCTATGGAAGCTTCAGTCACCTTATTGAGAGCCTCATTCTGGATTCCCTGCACCGTCTCAGGGGTGGCATAGTGTTTAGCCTCGGGGAAGTGTTGGAGGAACGTTTTCCCGCTCAGGTAGTGATCGGGGTGGTTATGCGTCGTGAAAGCCGCCAACAGAGGCTTATCAGTCGTATTTTTTAACCCACTGAGCTAGGTTTTCTGCGTCAGATACCGCTCAGGGCAAGTCGATGATTGCGGCAGCTTGAGAGCCGATGATCAGAGACGACACAACGTCCAACGTTCTACCCGGGCAGATGAAGCTCTCGACCTTAAGGTTACAACTGCATGATGCGGCAGCTTTCCCAAAGGTCGCCGATAGAGCGACGGTGATGATTATTTTGGCGAGCATGATGGTGTTTGTGTCCGTTTTTGATCAAAAGAGCGATAGACCTGGACGAACCTCACTTCGATGCAGTGCGAGCACCTACTACTTTGCAGATCGGATGTTCCTGTTTTTATAACATATTGAATTGCATGTACGAAAGAATGAGTTTTTCCATCTGCTTCCGAGTCGTGGTAAAATATCAAGCGTCGTTGGGTTGACTCGGATGTACTATCATCGTAATGGTGCGGAGCTATTTTGTTTCCGTGGCCACTCTTCCCCAATGTCTTCACTCATGACCTTGAGACCTATGGCAGGCGAGCACCAGACTTTCAAATCAAGCTGACTATTGCACTGAAAAAGCTCCGAGTATTCATTCTTCGAATTGAAGATTAGTGATACTTACCCTGGCTGGTTTCGGCTACATACTAAACTACTGCGTAAGTGTTCATGTTTTCCTAATTTTGCGACGGCCGAGACTTCGGACCCTTCGGAGCCAACGCCTTGCTCTTTACATTTTGTGATTACATCAGTGGGACATCCAACCTTCCAAGGGCCTTTTTAAAAGATGCGTGGCTATATATGGAAGGCCAAGGAGATGATCCTGTGGATGCATCTATATAGGAATGGTCTTGATCATTTGAACCTTAGCTGCAACTTGCGCAAGCTGCACGTAAACTTGCTGTCAGGTGTTATGACTTCAGACTGAGTGCAAATGCTCAGAAGACGAAGAATTCCAAGGAGGTAACTAGTCTGTGCCAAAGATGCGAAAAACCGTGTTCATAGGAAGATGAGGTAGGAGAGCCCCTGTGCCGGAATCAGAGCATCATGGTGGTGACAGGAGGACATACACGTCTCACGTGTCTGGAAATCCGCGCGAACCTCTAGAATGCGTCTTGAAAATTCTCTAGTAGAAATTGTGATTTAAATTTTCATCTCCGATGGTCTTTGTGTCTTGTCCCGAAGAGACGGTAGCCGCAAAACTTTGACCCTCTAGGTGCGTTCTGGCCTAGTCCTAACCGCTGTTCGAGTCAAAGCATCTGGCCATGACACGCCATCATCGACAAAGAATCACAGACCTGATCGTTCCAGAAATCGGTTTCCACAACGGCCGTGCTTGGAGGCTCACAACGGTCATCCCCAAGACTTCGTATTCCGGCAACAAGGGTGACCACTCCTCATCGTGAGCCTTCCACCAGCGCGCGCAGGTGTCAAGTCGAAACCATGTCAGACATTACACCCATGGAGACGCCTCCAGGCACAAAAAGTGTCTCCTTGGTCGATCTACCCATTCTTCTTCGGCAAATACCCGACATCATGCTCGAAGTAGCCTCGCACCTCCCCACGGAGTCCGCCATGTGCCTGGCTCTCACCTGCAAATCTCTTTACAGCCTCCTCTCCCAGGCTACACATTCCAAATTAAGAAAAAATAACAGAAGACTCAATAACCTCCTCTTCCTTATTCTCAAGGACATAAGCAGTCAGGGGTTGTATCTCTGTCACCACTGTACGCAACTCAGACGCTGGATCTGTCCATCGGGGGCGGGCTGTTCGGATTGCCCCTCGATCGGCAAAGGACAACTGCTGTGGAACACTCCGCATGGGAGACTAAACGAAAAGATTCATTCGTGCATCGGCGCATCAGCATATTTCACATACACCGTCAACGGCTCAGAAGACAGGAATGACAACTCGAGAGTGGTCATGCACCGGGATCGAGGAGGATGGCGATTATGCTGTGGTAAAAAATTAGAGGATGTGCTTACGACTCCTTCGACATGACGATTCAAGACAAGGAAAAGGGTGCGCCCAGGTGCGAAAGGTGGCGATTTGAGGTGATGTCAAATTTGTTATTCAAACGCGTAAAGAAATTCTCATGATTACATGTACCCTAGCAACCATTATCCATAACGCCAATTATATGCCCGCTTTTATCATCTCGCAAAAAAAATCAAAAAAATCAGTTCAGTCCAATCTGTCCAAGCAGCCACTTGGCCTCTTCAAACACTTCTGCCGGTGAGCCCTCGGCCTCAACGGGGAGGACATCCAGCTCCGCGATGCCGGCAGCTTCATACACCTCAACCTGTCCCTCGACCATGCTCGCCAGCATGTAGTGACCCTTGCGCTCGTTCACCCTCTGCACAAGCGTCTCAGGGCTAGCTTGAAGGTCGAGGAAGACAACCTTTACGCCCTCCTGCTCGGCAAAGACGCTGCGAAGGGTATCGCGATACGACTTTCTCAGAGCCGAGCAGCTGACGACGACGGAGTCGTAGCCCAGATCCTCGAGGGCCTCGGAAGCTCTCTTGCCGATGCGGCTAAGCCACAGAGATCGATCCTCGTCGGTCAAGGCGACGTTGCTGCCCATCTTCTCAATGGACGCCTTGGAGTGCAGAGAGTCGCCCTCAATGAAGGGTGCCTTGAGCGAGGAGGCCAGAGAGGTAGCGAGCGTAGACTTTCCACTGCCGCAGGGGCCCGCGACCATGACGACCGTCTTGGCGGAACCCTGGTTCTTCTTGACCCAGTGGTTGGCCTTGAAGTACCTGACAAAGTTGTCGACCAACTTCTGATCCAGCACGGGCGCCTGAGCGAGCGCGGGCGAGAGAGAGCAGGCGTTATCGGTGACGTACGTCTTGGACGGCGAGAACTCATCCCTGTCATACTTTGACGCGAAGAAGTCGACGAGCTTGATGGGCGGGTTGGCGGCGGGATCAGGGTTTGAGGCGCGCAGGCGACGGATCCACTCCTTGGGCTCGACCTCTTCGAACTCGAGGCCTGCGGCCTTGAGGGCGGGCAGGAGGTCTTCAGTCCAGCTAAACATCTTGGGGTTCGCGACGTTGGTGAATACGCCGTCGGCGTCAGAGAGGGAGATGTCGATGACGCCCTGCGCGACGGTGTCCACGGGCAGCCAGGAGGGTGTCTCTTGGAGCTTGGGGAGGGCGCCGACGGTGATGGCTGTCTGGAGCATGAGGGGGATGGCTTCAGTCGCATTCCAGACGCCGTGCTGGGTGTCTGCAACGATCTGACCAATGCGCAGGACGCGGGACTTGATTCCGGCCTGGGTTGCCTTGGCGCAGAGGTGCTCAGCGACGACCTTGGACTGGGCGTAACCCATACCCTGGGCCCATTCAAGATCGGGGACAGACTCTGGGACGGGAATCGTCGTGGCGCGCGCGACGGTGCTGACAGATGAGCAGAAATTGAACGCGGCAGGGGACGAAGCTCCGGTCTCGACGTCGCCGGCGGCTTTGCAGAGGGCGATGAGGTGGTTGACGCCGGCAATGTTGCCCTTTGCGAAACTCGTCAGGCGCATGTTGAAGTTCACAGACCAGGCGGCGTGGATGACGAGGCGGAGATCTTGCTTGACCTGGCGGTATCTGTCCTCGGACAGACCGAGCTTGTCGTCAGCGAGGTCGGTGGACAGCGCGACGAGCTTTCTGCGGGAAGAGGCGGGTAGCGCATGGTAGAGTCTGCGCTGGATGAGGGAGCTCTTTAC